AGCAGTTTGTCTCTGCAGTAGATCCATTGATCCAATGATCCGTTACACATGTACTCATAAACCAAAAGCATGCGTACTTTCTCAGCACAAAACCCAACCAATCCTACTAAATTGAAATGGTGAATGCTTCCTATGGTCTCAACCTCAGCCATAAACGACTTCTTTACAGGACCAAAACCATCAAGGCACTTTACTGCAACTTGAGTACTACCAGGTAATGTTCCTTGAAAAACACAACCGAATCCTCCCTCACCAAGCTTGTTGCTGAAGTTGTTTGTTATATCCTTTAACTCTTCATAAGAGAATCTCGTGGATGTTCCTGAGATGTGGCCCAAATAATCCTCCTCAACATCCTTTGGATCCTTTTTAATTTGTAGCAAAAGGAGAGTGCAGATAAGAAGCACGCTGAAAGTGGCTCCGAGAGTGGATCCAAGAATTAGTCCTACATTCTGTCTTCTCTTTCTAGGTGATGGAAGATCCTTTTGTGGAATATGTTCAGTTGAAGAACTCACCTTTAAAAACACAGATGGATTGTAATATGTATCCACTTCTCTTTTAAATGACAAAGCTTCAGATCCAAACGAGCACCAGCCAGTTGATGTGTTAAAACCATTATTTTGAAAAGCTGCATACTTGCAAGAACAGTCGTTTAAACAAGTTTGCTTGCAGCTCTCTATGTCTGTTTTATGATAATTATTTGACTGCAAGAGAGTGGAGCTAGAAACATTTTTTATCTCAAGAAGACGAGACTTACAGGTTATTAATGGTACAGATGGAGAACACCCAAGCTCTGGCTGAAAAGGATCAATCGGCTTGAAGTGCACTGTTTCGTTTTCATCTTGTTCTGGGCAACTGCATCGTCCCGCTAAGCAAATTCCATATTTTCCACACGCCAATGGGTAATCACAACTACCGACTTGGTTCTCAAACAAATCCACTTCCTTCCATTCTGATTCTACCCACCCAAAGGACCTTAAGTGCCCATCAGACCCTAATTGTATAAAACTAACGCCCAATCCTGGAGAAAGGCTAGCACCAAGACTTGTGTTAGTAAATTTAGCATAAAACTGCCCTGTTTTGCTTTTCAATTGAGAACCAGGGGAAAGGTAATAGACTAGGCTAGCATCTGACTCCGCAGAAGCAACAAAAAAACCATCATTATCAATTAAGAATGAAAATAAACCCTCACTCCATTCTGTGGTTGAGGAATTTGACTTCAATTTCTGCCCAGAAACTATACTCTGTCCGAGAACTAAACAGTCTGTTGGATGATCAAAAGACTGCCAAACCGTCTCATTGTTTCCATCAAACAGCAGAAGGTTACCCTGATCAGTTAACTTCAACCCAGAAACAGATTTACCTGCTGTTTTGGTAGACCAAACTAGAGTGTCATTAACATCTTGCAGTGTTAGATCGCCTTGCTGGGAAAGTTGCAATTTTGCCCCACCTCCAACAGGATCATTTCGATTAGCAGACCATACCATTTTTAAATTTGTCCAGTAGTTGGACTCAAAGTGGAAGATGGAGATAGCAAAGAGGCAGGTGTTGTTTTCTTCTAATTTGCAGTGGAAGCCACAAACAAAATTCCCATTGACAAAGATGGGTTCCAGTATCAACTCTTCTGATTTCCAACTAGAGTCTGAGATGATGTTAGTGTAAGGGAAGGGAGGCTTCACACTTGAGCTGTGCACCTTTATAAACACAGATTGATTGTTATATGAA